TATCCTGCACACATACACACATTCACACTCACCCCCTTGTACACACACACTGGCTCTGGCACATGGCTGCTACAGGGAGCCAGGGAGGACAGGGCCTCATGGGGCCAGGTGGCCATCGCTGTGAGAGGTGGAGTGGAGAACCCTGGCTGCATGGACTCGAAAGCTCCACGTTGCAGTTGCTCCACTCATACTTGGAGCCTGGTGACCTGTCCTCTTGCTCTGCTGGCCCCAGTTGGTTAGGCCCTTCTGAATACTTCCCATCATCCCTCACTGCTCACCAGGAGGTAGCCCATGCGCACTGTCGTCATTGCGTCCCCAAGTCAGCTGGGGCTTGTAAATGATGGAGAGGGAGGTGGGTGCTGAGCAGATAGCAGGTGTTCTTCCCACGCTGCCGCCTCTTCCTCCTCTTCCTCTCTGGCCTTCTATGCTGTAGTGCGTGGGTCTGATTGTTAGAAGAGGGAAGTTGAGGCGGTCCGTGCCCTGGGTGAGGCGCAGGGACAGGTGAGGTGACTTGAGTCCTGACTGCAGCACAGGAACTGATGAGACGTCCCAGGACCAGTGTGAGGCATGGGGACAGGTCAGGTGGCCTGTGTCCTGGGTGAGGTACTGCTGAGAGAACAATTAGTGATCAGTTTAGTGACATGTCCTTCTCCTCCCCCATCCCAGGGGACGGATCCTCTGCTGGTTAGGCACAGTTTTCCAACCTCCCCTATTAAGGTTTTATTTTAAACTTTGTGCAAATAGCTCTGTGTTCCCCTACGTTCTTCACCCAGCCCCCCACCGGTGGCTGGGACCCACTATGGACTTGCGGTCAGCGTTGGCAGCCTCCAGGCTGAAGCTGTGCTCTCTCTCTGCAGTGTTCTCGCGTGGACTGAAGAAGTCCTCCCAGGAGCTCTACGGCCTCATCTGCTACGGAGAACTGCGCAAGAAGATCGGGGGCTGTGAGTAGGCCCCACTTCACAGGGACCCTGCTGCGGCTGTGACCCACGTCACATACGCTTTACCTCGCTGTGCTGGGGGTACTCTGCCATGTTTTCACTCTCCACACAGAATATGCACAGACCCATGCACGCACCTGTGCGCACCCCCCTGCACACACATGTATCCACTCACATGCAGCTGTGCAGACACATGCAGGCTAACAAACACACATGCATCTGCCATACCTGCATGCGTGCTCATGCGCACACACAGATTTTCTTGCTCATCCGCTGCTTTACTGTGAGTTCACACACGTGTTGTGCCACTAAACTCCTCAGGCCGTGTTTCTGAGACACACAGCCTAGTAGAGGATGTGACCTGAACCTCACGGCCGAGCCAGGGCCCGAGCACACGGTCCTGATGACCGCAGGATCTCTGTGTGATGGCAGCTGTGTTCTAGAAGGTCCAGGCCTGTATTTCATGGGATTTGCCCTGACGGGTTGTATGAGTCCCGTAAGGGGACATCACAACCTCCTGCTGGCCCAATCCCAGTGATGCAGGACTCCCTCAAGGTGACACGGGACTGGGGGAAGGAGTAGTCACTTGAGGGGGTCTTGCTTCCTTAGCTCCTTCCTTTGGGCGGTGGGCCGAGAGGAGGGAGCTGAGAAGGAGCCAGTGTCCCCTGGGTGGTGGTGGGCCATTCCTTTCAGTCCCGACAGAAAGATTGGCGGTTCAAGCCCATCCAGCAGCTCTAGGAGAGAAAGGCCTCCGTTAAGACGACAGTCAAGGGATCCCCTCTCCCCAGAGGATGGTTTTGTAGCCCATGGGGGCACCCTGAGTTGGAGTCGGCTGTGTGGCAGTGGCTCTGGCTTTGATCTATGGTCTGTGTGCTCAGCCCTTTCCACAGTCTCTTAGCATGCTGGCAGGGAGGCAGGTCTCCTGAATGAATCTGGTGGGATGGACAGGGGTCTGCGAGAGACAAGCAGCTGTGTGGAGGCACTGAGAAGTCAGGAACCTGGGCAGGTGATATGAGAGGGCTTCAAAAGATTCATGAAAAGGGATTGAAAACTTACATTTTTCCAAGGACTCTGAAACCTCTTCATATTGCAGAGCAGACGTGTGGGCAGACACACAAAGAGGGGCATTGGCAGAGCCCCGGGGCAGCCGAGTCTTGCTTTCAGCCGGGGCGGGGTTTGGCCGTGAGGACCTTGAGTATTTGATGCTGGTCACAGAGGGACCTCTCCTGGTGTCACAGTCTAACCTCTGTCTGTCTCTTCACTTGAAGGCATGGATGACAAGAATGCCACCAAGCTGAACGAGCTGATCCAGGCCGGGTGAGTTGGGTTTGCCTGAGGCACTCATCCCCATTGGGGTGAGATATGTGTTTGGCTTCTCCCCTGTCCTGCAAGAGAACTGTGGGGCCTCTTCTGGAAATGGCTCTCCTTCTCCCGGGGCCTCTCAGTCCTAGGGGGTTTCTGTTTGGGGACCTGTCAGCTGTTGAAGCAGTGTAACCCCCGGGAGTCTGTGTCTCCTTCTTCTCCTTGGGTGACACGTTTCTTTGTGCCGGTCTTCCCGGTCTCCCTGCAGCATGTTCCCAGCATTCCTTCTGAGCTACTCCCGATTTGTGTCCTGCCTCCTCTGCCCGCCACCCTGCGCTTGCACCCACTGGCCCTCACGCTCCTGACTCTCTGGGGTACATTCTCGTGAGTGCACGCAGCCTCTATTCTTAGTGGACAGTGAGCCAGCCCTAGCTGACTGACCATCTCCTCTCTGTAACACGACCTGTGTAGGCATCCAGCCTGCCTGTCCTCATGGTGCTCGGTGGTGCCTTGTGGGGGAGTCAGCCTGACAGGCCTGTCCCCAGGCTCTGAACTCCACCAGGTCCTGTCAGCTGCCTGAGGTGCAGTGGATTCTAAACCACTGCTCCACTCCTCCATTGCCCATTGCAGCCCGTTCCTCCTTCTCTGTGGGTCCTCGGAAGCTTTGAGACACACTTGTAGGGAAGGTGGAGGTTATACCTGGGGAGCCTTCCTCCTAGCAGGTGTGGGCACCGCCCCAAGAGGACGCGATTCCTTGGGAGCTGGCTGAGGGCCTACCACACTTCCCTTTGGTTCCAGTTTCCCAGAAGTCCCTGCTTTGTGCTCAGGGGACCTCAGTGTTGTTCAGGGGGACACAGTCCTGCGTAGCTTGGCTGTGACACTGTTGTGAGAGCAGGGCCTGTGTGGGACTGTCCTGTCGTGAGTGTGTACAGTCTTCTATAGAGCGGGGGAGGCGACACATGGCTCTGGTGAGTCTCAGAGTGGCTGGAGGATTGGTCCTGGGGTGGCCGGGACCCCAAGAGATGAACACCGACCATGGCCAGGAGCCATCTCCTCAGAGCTGTGTGTAGTAAATATGAAGGTTGAGGTTGTTCTGAATAAGCAAGGATTTAGAAGAACCACCCCAAGATTCTGTGAAAACGTATGAAGTAACTGAGAACACACACTAAGAGTCCATGAGGCCCCATGATGCCAACGATTGGCTGATGAAGGCAAACACGCTGGGGAGAAAAGATAAATCTCCGGGTAGAAGACGCCAAGTGGCACATGTAGATGCTCACCGTCTAGGAGGGGGTGTGGGACTCCCCACCTCTTAGCATACAAACTTCAGCCAGGGACCAAGGCCAGCATGGATACTGATAGGACAGAAGAGGGAGGCGCTTTGCAAGCTCTGTGGTTGTCCTCCCAGATGCCATGTTGCATATCATTGAGTCAGTGTTGACTCGCGGTGACCCCACTGGGCAGAGCAGACCTGCCCCCAGGGGTTTCTGGGCCTTCCTCTCACAGAGTCACTGAGGGGCTTTGCAGCTGGCGTTCTGCACTTGTACCACCAGGCTCGTTCCATGAACCCCTAACCTCAGTATAATCTTGGAAAATCATTAGGCAAATCCTTGTTGAGGGACTTTAAACAGTTGACCAGTGCTCCTCAGAATGTTCAGACTCAGGCCACCCAAGGCAGGCATGAGAAGACATGGTGGCTGCGGGCTGTGAACGTGGCGTGGTGTCTTGAGTGCGTCCAGGGGCAGTGGGAGGACATTATTGATAAGAGGAACCACGGTGATGAGGATTAGTGCAGACGTGATTCCATTAAGGAGCCGGCTGCTCCCTGAAAGGTCCACAGTGTACGCCCAGCAGCCTTTCCATGTGCTGACAGGGTCACTGTGGGTTGGAATTGTCTCCACAGCTGTGACTTGGGTCAGTGGTAGTTGGTTCATCCATTGTGACAGTGGAACCTCACTAGGTCAGCAAGAGGGGAAGCCAGGGTGCAACATGGGAACTGCCTTTACAGCAACTTTGTCATTTTGAATTCCAAGCTCTTTGACATTTTGTAGCTCTGGTGTGGTGGTGGAGGAGAGGCAGGAGGTCGGTGGTTCAAACCTGCCAGCCTCTTCTCAGAAACCCTATATACATGGTCGCTAGGAGTTGGAACAATAACAGCATGCTAAACTTAGGAAGCTCTGGCGATACGGAATAAGTGTCGGGCTACTAACCGCAATGTTGGTGGTTCAAACTCACCAGCCGCTCTGTGTTTGATCCAATAAGGATTTACAGCCTCTGAAACTGTAAGGGACAGTTCTCCCCTATCCTAGAGGGTCAGTGTGAGTGGGTTTGACTCGAGGGCAGTAATGGATTCTCAATTTAAACTTAAAAAAAAAACAAAACCATTAAACTAAAGCCCTTACTTAGGGTCATTCTGAGGCTGTGATGGTCCCAGGTGGGCAGAAAGATTGTAAATATCAGAGGAGAGCAGTGCAATCTAAATAGTCTAATTGCCATCCAGAAAATGCCAAAGAATCCATTGAAACGACTTAAAACTAACTAGATTTCAACAAAGAGGACAAATATGAATGTTAATGGATTTTCTGATGGCTGAAATCACTCATTAAACAAAGTTCTTACTTTTAGCAAAGGTGTACCATGTGGCATTGTGGGTTAACATGCTGGATTGCAACATTGGTTTGAACCACAAGGTGCAAGCTCCTCAGCTGCTCCTCAGAAACCCTATACAGGGTAGCTATGGGTCGGAACCAGCTCGTTGGCACTTAACAACACCATTTTAGCCAAACACTAAGGAACGGAGATGCAGACGGAGCAACAGTGTCCGTGGACCCTGTGGAAATCCTATAAAGCAGTGGGAGCTGACTGATGATGTGGAGCGTCTCTCTGCCACTTCTCCGACTTATCTTCAAGTCTGTGCGTTTGTCAGTGTGTCCTCTCCGTGTT